TTATACCCTCTATTAAATAGTGAAAATGGGTCTATTCAATCTTGCCCACAGGTTGTCCTGTCATCAAGAAAGTAGAGTTAAGAGAGTTACCTAATCTCAAATTTGTCGAAGCCAACATAGACAAGGATCCAATTCTCAAGACAATTCGAGATGCTACCAGCAATAAAGACCAACGGGCGAAGAAGACTGTTATCCGATTGGGACTTTACTAAGTTTCAATTGTTTCTCCGTAGGTGAGAATTGCCGCTGGTTCGACGGTCGGTTAGCCATCTCGAAAGCCATGTCTACGTCGGTATTGATTAAGCTACACTACAATCAACATGGTAGGGACTAAATTTTTACGGCGGCTGAAGATGTACAGATTCCCTTAATGCACCGAAATCTATCGGCTACTGTTTAATTTTGCAAACGTCTGGGAGAAGGCGAAAATCTTAAGCCGGACATTCCCAAGGGAGAATTAGAAGAAAAATAAAAACCTAAGTATCTTAATGAAATCGTACAGCTGGATTTTTGGAGTCCATTTCACTATACTAACAGGCGGGAGCAATATGCACTCCTGGCTGTCAACGTTTTTTCACCTAGGCCATCGGATTGAAATTGTTCAATTAAAAGCTCAAAAAATGAACTCAAACTCCCAAAGAATGATATAGCAACCCAGGGGCACACTAGGAAACAACATACGGATCACGCTTCTGGTTTATTTTAAGCGAAAGTTATATTTCTCGCAGTTATGAAGAAACTAATATAATCCCCAGTAAAGACCACCCAGTAACAGGTATGATCCAAAGAACCATCGGCTCTCTAGAAAGTTACGTCTTAACATACCCAAGGCAAAATGGAAATCAGAAGCTCAATTATATGATTTCACGAGCATTAAGCGCTTTACGCTTTCTACCATATTCTAAGACCAAACTGACTCCGGTAGAGGCTCACCATCGAAGAGAAGCCAGCACCGTACTTCGCAATCTCACTAAGAAACCGTAACTGAAAAATTTACAACGGAGTAACGTAATTGAACAAAACTTGCAATGTTTAGATGGGGCTAACGGATGGGCAGAGGTCGAGATAAACTTGGATTTGGAGAAAAAGAGCAAATTAGTGTATGCCTCACAAAACAGAAGGACGCCCCGGGCACTAGACGAACACGAGCGGAAGAAGACGCAGATCTGACTTGCCTCAGTGGTATACCAGAAAACAGGAAGAACCGACAAGGAACCGAGAAGAGAAACAGACCGATGCTGGTTTAGACCAGGGGCCCAGTTCAACAAGCACCCCAGGACCGAGATTGAAAGTCATTTTTGCAGACGCGACGAAACAGCGAAACGAAAAACCGGCGGACAAGGGGAAAGATTTACCGATGGTTGCAGAAAAACCGAAGCAAAAGACTCTGAAATAACAGGCGAACTCGCCAACAGAAGAGCGGTCAAAAAAATTCGGAAAACTGTAGAAACGAGTAGCGACGAAAACATCGAAGACAACGACTAGAGCCAGCAGCAAATTGCGACGAGCGAGAAAAAATCGACGAACGAGCGGGAGACGGATGATGAAAACATGAAGGAAAAAACACCGGAACCTTCAAAAAATGAGCTAGCGTGAACATCGGGGACGCAAGAAATGAACAAAGGACTACCTGGGGATCCGACGCGAAAATCGACGAGACAACAAAAGGGGTCACCAAAATGGGTGACGTAACGATTTACAATCTCATTGAAATGAAACAACTCCAATCAAAGCAATCTTGAGAAGCCCAGGGAGATGGCTGCTTCCTAAAAGCCATCGACTCAAATTAAAACAATGTAAAACTGATAAACATTGTAAATTGATAAAACTTCATTGGAACATATGTAGACACTTCCATTACGGATTTACAGTACTTAAACAGGGTTTTTGTTATCCATGAATTTTACTTCTGCGGATTTAAAACGTATTGTGATTGTCCCCATGACATAGGAGTGACCTCTATCTCTATTGGTGTATACTGAAACAATGACTGCTGTAAAATTTAAGTATTTGTGTCATACAGGTGCCTTAAAACTTGGACATATTACATACTACGTTTTTCACATCTACATCAAATTTGATCGCAGCCAGAAGCGCACTTTCCCAACCTGACTACCCAAAGAGCTATTCTTGTTAATTTTTTCCGCGGTATCAATGCTAAAAGTTTGACGTCAATGTATACTAATCTGGAAGGGTCGCGCGCATAAAATTTTCCAAAAATTTTGACAAATATAATTTTTGGCATTTTTAAAATACTTGCGGTGCAACCAAACAACGTTTTGGAAATAAGGTCTTTATCAGAGTCCAAAGCGAGGCGAGTCAACCAAATTTATCTTACAAGCAGTCCCAGAACACTCCCAAAAACCTATTTTGACAAAATTTTGAGCATCGCAGGAAAAGTTTTTAAAAAAACAGGCCAAAAATGACGATTTTGAGCAATAATTGGAAAATTTTCACAAAAAAATGCGTTTTTTTTTGGCGCACGCTCCCTTTCACATCTTTAATAAAATTTGAGAGGGCCCGCTCGCACCAAATCAATTTGATCGAAATAAGAATGGTCGAGCTAGAAGCGAAACAGGTGAATAAATGGTCGAAAGACCCCCAAGTTTGAACTGTGATTTAGGACTGGAGTGGCTCAAGGACCCCGTCCCGTCCAGAACTCAACACAAAAACTTCGACACTGAGCAGTTTTCGAGGTATGTTTAATGAAGTACGAAGTGATGAGAAGAAATATTTTTGTTTCAACTTCTAATGAGCCCGCCTCAATTTAAAAAAAACTAATAGCAGTGAAAACGAAGTCAGATTTTGCGGTATTTAATTAGACCAGTTGATAAATTTATAACAGACTAATCGTAAAAGGACGCTACAGAAATAAGCTTTGAAATTTAGAGTCCAGTACAAGGCCAGTTTTGAGCCACATCAATTTCATTTTCATAAGAACGCGTTAAGAACGGTCAAGGTAAATTAAATACGTTAGTTCTATCACATTACGAGGCCAAACTCTGCACTGGATTGGCGCAAAATTGTTTGTCTCTATGTTCCTGGATTCCAGAGACAAGTTTCTCAACACTTTTCAAATTGTAAGTGGATTCCACTTATATAAGTTCCGTGTATTCCGCATACAAATACTGGCGGCACATTAATTCCGCAACGAGCGAATATAAGTAGTTGTTCCGGCTTCCGCAAATGTAAGCGGATTCCGCAAATGCAAGTGGATTCCGCAAATTTATGCGGATTCCGCTTACAATTTGCGGATTCTACTTACAATTTTTGAATTTCATTTACAGTTGCGGATTCTACAACAGCTAAAATTTACGTAACACATATTATTTGTTTATGGATTCCACAAACTGTTCCGAGTTCCGCAAATTTTGTTGCGAACTTCACAAACTTTTGGGCGGATTCAAAAAGGTTGCCAATTTTTGGAGCAATTTTGAGCATACAATGTTCTAGCTATTTGTCAGTGGAATTTAAAACAGCCATGAAGCAAAGTGAAATCCAAAACTGCAACAATTCTGCTTTTGGCGTGTTGCGGAATCCGCTAAGAATTCACGAAAGCTATAGTTTGGCTTCGTAATGCAATTGAAAATTAAGTCAAACAAGGTTGCCCAAAGCATGCCCAACACACTTGCGTTGAAAAAAAATGATGAAGCAACGCCGATGCCACTTCCAAATATAAAAAACACTCCTTGTATATCCTTGAAGACAATGGCTTCGACATTCGCAGCGAGTTTCTTCCTATCCGAGCACTGGGATCTAATTGCAAACCATCTTCTGTGAATTGTAGCAATAGTTCCGTCTTCAATTAGATCCAAAATTTTAGTCGAAAATAGTTCAGTCAAGTATGATCTTTTTGGAAAAGCAAACCCAGATCCCACTCTTGTTTTAGGGCTAGCTGTACTGATTATGACCTCAAGGTCACAAGGTGCAAAAGTTAGTTCATACTCATAATTTCTGCTGTCTGAAAAGTTGCGAGAAAGTTGTTTGGTAAAATTTTTGACGAAATTCAAAATGTAAATTTTTTTATTAAACAATCTGAAGATGTTTATCGCCAAACTACGTTCTCAGAAATAGTTGAGCATAATTACGCAGGGCAATTCTTGCTTTGATACTTAATTATGTTGACATATAATGCTATTTTTAAACTAAATTAACAATAGCTCTATATGCTACTAACCTTTGTGATACAATTGAGCCGTTTGAAAAATATATAAAATTGTTTCCAAACAATATTTAGTTACAAAGTTATTACAAAAACATATGAATTACAAAAACAAATCTGAATCGTATGGGATAGCATCATTAAGCCAGCACGGCCCGTTCCAGTGTCTCATTAGGCTGAGAGCAACAAAATACTTTCTGGTACAATGGCTTGTACTATTAGTAGCAATTTGTTAAACGTACTTTTTACACTTTTCCTTTTTTTAAAAAAAGAAAATTTTTTATTGGGTTGTCTTTTCTACCCGTAACCTAGAAAGCAAGAAGAGAAACAGTTTATACATTTTTCTTCAAAAAATCTCAAAGCATGCCCAATTACATTGAATTTTATAGAATAAACTTTTCCAGAAATTAATATTAAAACGTAACTGTTGCATAATAGCTATGTACCAATTATTTAGCAGTTACGAAAGTGATGTATATTTCATTTTTATGACATAACTTTTAGGCTGGTTTTCATACGCTGTGCGTTTTCGTTTTTTTTAAATATCAATCAGCTTGTTTTTTTAATCAGATTTTTCATTCATGTTTCCTAAACTTCAGTTTCATATTTAGCAAAAACTTCTTCGTAGGCGAAACGTTAAAAACTGGGACCTCACCCAAGCAGGCTTGTTTCTCAACAAACAAGCAGGCTTGCTTCTATTTGAGCATTTTCCCGCTAGCGCTGTAGTTGCTATGCTGGCATTTTGGGAAAGCGTACACTGTCATCAGTTGAACTTACCATTTTTAAATTCCAAGATAACCTTTTATTGAATTTTTATTAGTTTCATTTTTTCAAAAGTTTATTCAGTTTCACTGTTCCACATGTTATATTTGGTCTTAGCCACTTTGAACACACTTGCGACGAAAAAAATGATAAAAGCAACGCCGATGCCACTTCCAAATATAAAAAACACTCCTTGTATATCCTTGAAGACAATGGCCTCGACATTCGCAGCGAGTTTCTTCTTATCCGAGCACTGGGATCTTATTGCGAACCATCTTCTGTGAATTGTAGCAATAGTGCCGTCTTCAATTAGTTCCAAAATATTAGTCGAAAATAGTTCAGTCAATGATGATCCTTTTGGAAAAGCGAATCCAAATCCCACTCCAGTTTTGGGGCTGGCTGTACTGGTTATGACCTCAAGGTCACAAGGTGCAAAAGTTAGTTCATACTCAAGATAAGGAGACTCCAGAATAAAAACGAAGTCGTTCCGCGTTCTTACCCTGTTAAATCCCTCCGGGCTTTCATAAAATCCTGTATTCCGACTTTTCATATTCTCGTACATCCTCTGAAACGGTTCATAAGTCGAATTCTTGAAAGTCAATTCGCCAGCTTGCCCGGGCACTATTGCATAATGAAAGTCTGGATAATCAAGCAAATCTTCAATTTTTTTGAGCGGTAGTGTTACCCGATTCACGGTAAGCATTGACGTTAGGCTGGACGTGTAAATTGTGAGAACCGCCAACGATAAAAACCACCATGATACAGTCGCAATTCTAGCCGGAAACGATTTCGGATATGTTTCGGGCCCTTGTGCCAAAAAACACGCAAATGAAAAATAAAAGCAAGAACCAATATTTTCAAGTTGGTTATTCGACGTTTTTCCTAATAACCCAAAAATGTAAAGTGTGAAAGAAACTAAAAAAAGGCTTCCCAAAACTGTGAGCCAAACTTCTCTTGAAAATGGCATCAAATAAGCCGCTATGTCAAATTTCACTGTCTGTTTTTTGAAAATCATCGCGTAGTCGATTTGCATAAAAGGAACGGTGAAATCGACAACTTCGGATCGAATCGCGTTAATCGTGATGTCGGCAGCCGCCATGTCAACCCGTCCATGATAAACTTCTCCAATCAATCCATTCCAGGTGTCATTTCCAATCGGAGCTCCGTAATTTCCATCTGGGACTAATACGTAATTGTATTCAAAACCCATACGAAGTTGCAACTCGTTGATTAAGTCTTGAATGTACCCAATTTTTTGAGTTTGATTCTCTAAGCTACTGATTTCGAATAGAAAAGGTTCTCCGTAATTGATAGAGATGGTTAAATTTAATCCTTTGATTGAATTTGAGCTTGTCGGAACAAGTAATGATGTTAATATTAGTAATACAAACATTTCTCTTTAAGAACCCGATTCACAGTAGTAACTTTTTTAAAAAAATCAACAAAGACGTTTTAAAAATCAATTAGTCCCTCTTTTTAAATTCAGATACATTTTCTGTCAGAAATGTTTTCTTACCTATATGAAGATCGATCAAAAATCATCGTTGCCGACAAAATTCAAAGGTAAAAGCTTGCTGCACATTAATTTAGAATGCGTAATTATCGGTGTTTGGAATATGAATGTTTTTTTTCCGGCGCAACTTCAAGTTAAAACGCAATTCAAATAAAAACAACAAAAGATAGCCAGTAATTTTGCTTTAATCGCATTGTGATCACTTAGGCGTAGGGACATCATTTGTTTAAAAACAAATAGCTAAATTTAATCTAAATGCAGCGTCAAAAGAGCCGTAAAAACAAAAAAATGTAAAAGACAAAGCAGCGAACATTGCTACTATGAATATAAAATGATGTAAAAAACAAAATGAGTTTAAACCAGAGGTACCTTTCTCATAGAGTAATTTCAGATGGCATTTACGGGTTAGGTTTATGGAACTTGTCCAAAGGAGAACAACTGTCTTTTAAGATTTATTCAAATTGTTCTGGTGCTGAAACTACAAGTAGCTCCACCACTACAAATAATTGTCAGTGTTAGTTATGGAATATGATTGGTTAGTCAGTAATACTTTGTAGGGATAGTTTTGTCAATAATATAATTGGTTCTAAATACTAGTTTAGAACAGGTTCCAGAACAAATATGTAGAAAAAATAGCCAGTAGTTCGACCAATTACACTTGATTTAAAAAACGACATACTTAGGTAAATCTGAGCCTCACATCTTTATGATAAGATATAAAAAAACGGTGAGCTATAAAAAATCGCGGAGCCGAATCACCTCTAACAAGAAAAAAAATCCAAAGGAAGAAAATGAAAAACTGAAAAAAACGTCAACCAATAATCTTATACGTTTGCCTCGATTATAGTTCAATTTATGAAAAATGTCAAGAAACTCAGTTGTCGGGAAATTTGCTTTGTTTTGAAAAAAATTAAAGTATTTACTAATGAGATAAAACTTTTGTGAAAGACTTTCGAGACGAAATAAAGTCATAATAAACTTCAACTAAAATTGTTTCAACCGAGAAAAACCAAGAGCAAATATCTCATTTTGTGAATGTAAACTATCTAGCTATGTCAGAAATTGTCTATGACTTCAGTGGCATCTTACTATAATTACGTGCAGATCCATAGAAAAAAACTGTTTTTTTTTCTTCAAATTTCAATTTTTTTAAATCGTTTTATTCAAACTTGTTATTTGTGTACATAGCATTAAACACTTATAAATTGCTTTCGGAATAATCAAAGAAAGTTGAGTGTTCATAAAGAGTTGGTGTTTATCCTTAAAAAATCATAAGCAGAGAGATGATGGCCCAAAAAAAAAATTTTCAGTTTACAAAAAAATACAGGTACTAGTCGTACACGAACTTCAGTCCTTAGTCATCTGCCATATGAGTATTCCATATTCGCCAAACTTGCTGACTGGTTGCTTCAATTTCAGTTGTTTGAACATATTTACAATTAAACTTTGTGAAAAAAAAGTTGCTGAGTGAAAAAAGGGTAGTACCGTTAGCAAAACCTTGTTTATCGCAGATGTAAAAATTTTTCTAATAATTTTCAGAAGCATAATAAAATTATGTTGAAAAAAATGTTAGCATGTTAGTTGCATCCAAAATCAAATATTGTGAAAAATCACTGACAAGATGTCCTAACTTGGAGAAATATAAAAAACTTTTTAATAAAAAAGCGCCAATCCAGTCACCTGATTTTGAAGTAAAACTTTTAGCGGTTTTCAAAATAAACTCTTTTTTGAACTCGGACAAAAGTCGCAGACGAGTGAAGGGATGCAGTCACTTGAGTTAAATCTGATTCAAATCAACCAAAAAACACCTATTTTGTACTGTCTACTTTATACGGAAGAAAAAACTTAAAATTTGTTTTCAAAATTTTTTCTCAGGAAAAATCTTGAAATTTGTTTAGGCTCAAATGTATTTTTTTTCAGGAAAATGTTTGAAATTTGTTTACATTCAAATGTACTTATTTGCGGCTTCAGTTTTGATTTTTTTGTAAATCTTTTGTTAAAAGCAATGCTAATTCCACTATTGAAAAACGAAAATGTAAAGGTAGCGATAAAAAGGTGATTGACTTCTAATTTGGAAAATGGGTTTTTAATGATAAAGTTTTCCAGCAAGTTAGAAATTATACCTACTGACCCAGTTCTAGAATTTCAAAAAACTTTAAGGCCATATATTTTTCCTGAATTTCAAAGGCTGAAGCATTTTCAAAAAACAGGTCAGTGTTTTTTTTCTGGTGACATGCGTTCATTGATTTTTTTCCAACTGTCTGTTTGCCATCTCTTGATATATATCATTACAGTGAATTGACTAGTGGGGAGTTTTAGGAGCAACACAGAGCCATTTGTAAGCAGTGGGATTAGCCAAAGTAGAGCAACTACCCAACCAATATCAACCAAGTTGCTCTTCTAAATTATTTCTTCATTAGTTCTTAGTTTTCAACAAAAATTAGTTCTTGTCTTTTTTTTTCAACAAGTTTTGCTATGTAAAAATCCACCTGTTTGAAATAAAAACCAAATGGTTTTTATTGATTATTCATTACAATTATTGATGTCTTTTCCTTGTTGTGAATTCTCAAACAGTCTTGGTTTGATGTCTTTGCATTCAAGCGAGCGATGTTTTCAGCTTATACTGATAATCTGATATTATTTAGTTGTTGAATAGGAATAGCAGCTCAGCATTATAACTATTTTCTCTTGCGCGAGAAAAAACTGTTTCACTGGCTTTTCTTTAGGATAAACACAAAAAACATAATCCATCAACCAAACGCAATCCGGGTCGAAGGCCGCAACTCCTCTGATTTTGGTTGGGATAGTCTGAAAGTTACTTTCGATTGTCTAGAAACTAGCCGCGCTCCCATTGCAAAAAAATGCGGTAGAGTTTCAATTTTAAGTGAGAGCGGCAGGACCCAAACATGTTGCGATAGTATTCAAAAAGTTCTAAAAAATGGACGCTGCGTCCAAAAAAAAACATTTCAAGAAATAAAAAACATGGCAGACTCAACAAACCAGTTATATGGAGCCTTTTGAAAGTATAAACTAATAGCACTCTTTGAAGTTATACAAAAGCTGATAGATTCAACAAGCTACCCGCAATGAAGTTCTATGAATAAAAATCGATTATAAATGAGTTTCCTTGTCAGTGTTCACAAAAATCAAAACAAAACGATTACAATCAACTAAAAATGCATTAAAAATTATTATTTTTTGAGGCAGCAAATTCTTTTTTTTCATCTATTATCATGGATTTTTTTTCACATTTGTGGATACTGACAATGAAACTTAATTATAATCCATTTTTTCCACTTTACTCAGATGCGAAATTCAACGCACATAAAGTCTTTTCTACCTTTTAAATTAAAGTTGGTTACTTGTTGTTCAATTTACTTTTTTTGCCTATTTTTGGTGTTTTTGTTACTTTTTTAAGTTACTCAAAACTTTTTTATGTTACTGGTTTATGTTTCATCAATTTACTTGAATTATTCGAAATTTTAGGGGAGGAGGGGTGGCAAAGTTGGAAGTGGACTAATTCCACCTTCCATTACCCCTCCCAAGCCTTTGCCCCTTGGGAGGGGGGAGGTAAACGGAATGGGGGCAAACGCGGGGGGACTTTAAGGGGGCAAACGTTTAGGGGGCAAACGTTAGGGGGGCAAACGTTTGGGGGGGGGGGGGGAGGGCAAACGTTTGGGGGGGGGGACGTTAGGGGGCAAAAGTTAGAGGGAGAGCTTAATAGGTGCGAAGGGGGGAGCGGAGCAAAGAGGCAGTCGTTAGGGGGGAGAGCTTAACAGAATCTTTTTGCAAATTGAGCTTAGGTTTAGAAATGAATTAGGCCGTACAAAGTTTCCGCATAACTCGATTGATCAACGCAGAAATTCTTGCAAAACTTAGCACGACGCAATTTTACAAAATTAAGTGAAAAAAATCCAATTTAATGTGATTTTCTACTTATTATGTAATCATTGATAATGGATTTCAAATTAATTATCTTTGATTTGAATCCATTTAAGTCCAATTTTGTTGTCTGAGCGTAACATGGAAATCGATTATGTTTACAACATTTTATACCACAAAAATCCAATATAATCGAGTTGCTTTCACTTTTCTTAAATGCGGGTAATTATAACTTCATGAAAGACTCTGGTTTGTTCTTCCAAGTGACAGCAAAAAGTTTTCTAAACAGTATGCTAGTTTCATCATCGCAAAAAGATTAGTCTAGAATAAATCAAATTTTCTCGCTTCGTTTTTGCTTCTAGGCTTTCATTTGTGCCCTATTGAACAATTTGACATTTTATAGAAGTCTTGTTTTGGGTAGTCTGAACTGTTTTTGTGTTTTTGTGGGACACGTAGTCTTTTTTTGTTCTTTTTTGTGTCGACAGAATATCATTTTGGTGAAAATGAAATATTGTCAAAAAATGGCCTTAGGCTGATCAAAATTTCAGCTAATTTTTTAGGCATTTTTTTCCGGTGGAACATGATCATTTTTTGTCTCATCTCATTTCTCTCAAAATATGTATTTTTTCAAAACTGATATTACTTTTTGCTTAAAATACAATTTTTGAGAGTGCGCTTCCAGTGCGTTTCAAAATTTCCAAATTCGACTATTAGTAATAGTTTGATACAGAATTTTTCCGATTAATGAAAAAGTTTATTTCTTATTTAAAATTTTTGTCTGTTTTATTTTTTTTTGAAAAACATTTCTTCTCTGTTTTTTTTTTGCCTAGAAGAAAACTGAATAAACTTTTTTGTTGGCAATTAACGCAAATTTCGATCCAATTGATTAGGCTCAATTCAGTTGCGAGTGATTTTAAAAACAGATTAGTTCGAAACTAGTTTACTGAAAAATTTTCACAAAATATCTATCCGAAACCGGCTAAAATGAGCATTTCAAAATTGACCTCACGGCATCACACAAAAAATTGTCAAAAACTTTTTTGGTTAAACATATAATTGATATCTATAGAGAACAAGAAGATCAAATTTTCAGCAATTTTTTATGTCCGTTGTTATACCTCTAGGTATATACGGAAATAGTTTATCCGTAATATTGATTTCAACGAGTACCATCAAGTGTATTAGTATGAGTATGTATAAACAGAGCCCTGAAGCATAATCAATAAACCAACACACTGAATCTGAG